CGTTCGGCATGGCCGCAGCAGCTGCACTCTCTCTCTCTCTCTCGCTCGACGGAGGGAGGGAGGCCAGGCAAGAAGGGGAAAGGGCCAGAGTGCTAGATGCCCTCCTCCTCCCTCCCTCTCTATCTGTCCACTTCACCACCACACCGTCGGCACCACACCACTCGTGGTTGCTACGCTGCAGCAGTGAGAGGAGTGGTGCAAGAAGAAATCAGGGACCGGACCGCTAGTTAATGCAATGGCTCTTGCCAACACTTAAGCCAAGTGGTTACCCCTCTTCTCTCTCAAAATGTAAGCGCCTATCCACACTTCTAGTTATCTATGCTCTACAACACACAAGAGGCTAGCTCGTGGCTCTCAAAGACTAATTAAAGAGCCTCGCCTAGACAAGACACAAGCTAGCTCTCAAAACTAATTACACTAGGAGAACGCGAATGGAAGCAAGAGTGAGGTAGTGAAGATATCTCCGCTCAATCAATCAAACACAATGAATACCAAGCACCGAGACAATGATGACATAATGATTTTTCACCGAGGTTCTCTTGAAAGGTCCCGTAATGGCCAAGGGATGAATAGCCTATAAAAAAAATTCTACAACAACACTTAAGCCAAGTGGTTAGACAATTATGAAGCGAAGCGAGCGTTGCGTTAGCCTACTCAAAATGTAAGCCGCCTATCCACACTTCTAGTTATCTATGATCTCTACAACACACAAGAGGCTATGTCACTACCACTAAGTTAGTGAGCTCTCAAAGACTAACTAAAGAGCCTCACTAACCACTAGACAAGACACAAGCTAGCTCTCAAAACTAATTACACTAAAGAGCTTAGCTACACTAGGAATGTAAGTACAAGAGTGAGGTAGTGAAGAGATACCGCCGTGGTAAGCGAAGATCAATCAATCAAACACAATGAATACCAAGAAATCCCGGGAGACAATGATGACATAATGATTTTTCACCGAGGTTCACTTGCTTGCCGGCAAGCTAGTCCCCGTTGTGGCGATTCACTCACTTGGAGGTTCACGCGCTAATAGACATCACACGCCTAATCCGCAACCGGGTGCCGCACAACCAACACAAGATGAGGATCCACAAGCCACGAGCAATCCACTAGAGTATCTTTTGGCTCTTCACCGGAGAAAGGTCAAGAACCCCTCACAATCACCACGATCAGAGCCGGAGACAATCACCTTCCTCCGCTCAACGATCCTCGCTGCACCAAGCCGTCTAAGTGGCAACAACCACCAAGAGAAACAAGCGAATCCTGCAGCGAAACCAATCACCAAGTGTCTCTAGATGCAATCACTCAAGCAATGCATTTGGATTCAATCCCAATCTCACGAATCAATGATAGATATGAGTGAGAGGGCTTTGACTTAGCTCACTAGGTTGCTATGTCAATGAAAATAGCCAAGAGAGTGAGCTAGAGCCGGCCACAAGCCTTAAATAGAGCCCCCAACGAAATAGAGCCGTTGGGCTCACACTACTCTCACGGGGCAGCCGGATGCACGGGCCAGGTCGACTAGACGCAGGGATATATTTGACTTAGTTAACTTAAGAATCCGTGGATCTGCGCCACGTAAGTCACCTTTCAAGTCGATTCTCCACCGCGATCCCAATTATAGTCGATTATATTGCTAAGTGCGCCTTGAATGATGACAAAGTGATGACTCATGATTGCGACAGAGATAGATTGTGTGATGTTTAAGTTAAGCATCGCGTACTTAAGGTGCCAGTGTAAACTATGCTTGTCTTGCTTGCTATTTTGTGATGTGTCTCATCACCCAACTTATGCACGGACGCATCTCATCTAGCTCCCGCGACAACCCCCGAAGCGTTAGATCGTTTCGATGGAAGCATCCAGAGCTAGAACCGCGATTTTTCGTAAGCTGACCCGACGGACGCGTCCAAGCTTTATAAGTCTCCTAATTTATAAAAGCAATTCTTTCTATATATGTTACCGACCCGTTGTAGGAGTTGATTGCCGAGTCCGGTCCTTCTTCTCCTCTCGCGAATAACGCCTTGCTTAGACGCGATTGATATCGTCACCTACATTATAGGTGGTTACTGGAAGAATTTAGCTATGGAAAGAATGACCTCTTGGAAGTAACCATGATGGATAATTGACCACGAGCCCTGCTTTGTTAGTTTCCGTCCGGTCACATTCCTCGCATGTTGAGCGCCTTACATTTAGTCAAAGGACCAAGGGCGGCCTTTCATGCCATCGACCGTGGTAGGACACGCGGGATGATAAGACCAAAAGTGCGGTCGGTCGGCCCCGGTACATGCTGAAACTCGTCCGGACTCGGTGCAATATCTCACTTTAGCGGGTGATCCGGTCACCTCGAGACATGGTTATCTGCTAAATCTAAATTGGTAGCTGGATGTTATTGGTTAATCAAGTGATTCTTCTTCATGATAACTCCAACTTAGCCCACTAAAAGCCTTGCCCTTGATCAAATGTGCTTCAACCACCAAGTGTATCACCTTGTGCACGTGTGTTAGCATATTTTCTAAAAACATTTTCAAGGGTGTTAGCACTCACTAGAATCTAAATGTATATGCAATGAGTTAGAACATCTAGTGGCACTTTGATAACCGTATTTTTCAAACCCGATGATGTGATGTGTATTTGCTTAATCACGAGTTTCACCCATCTTAATAGTATGGGTGTGTCAGGCTATCTATCCTAAATGTGATCACACTCGCTAAGTGTCTCGATCACCAAAACACAAAAGCTCCTATCAAGTTTCACCTTTGCCTTGAGTTTTTGTTTTTCTCTTTCTTCTTTTCCAAGCCCGAGCACTTGATCACCATGGCTATCACCACCAACATGATCATCATCACTTGCTCCACCACTTGGAATGTGCTACCCTATCTCATGATCACTTAGAGTAAAAGAGTTAGCACTTAGGGTTTCATCAATTCACCAAAACTAAACTAGAGCTTTCACCATGCGTCAGCAGCATCCAACAGCTCCTCTCTGGCGCCAGCAGCGCTAGTGGAGGACGGGACGAGGGAGAGGTCACATTCAGTGAGGTCAGAGGCCAGCGGTGGAGAACCAACCTGGTTCTTATGCCCAATGATGCCCAATGAGAAGAGCCTGCCGAGACACCCCCTTCTGCTAACTTCGTGCAAATGTGCTAACCACCATTTATCACCTTGTGCACGTGTGTTAGCATATTTTCACAAACATTTTCATGCAGAATGAGTTAAAACATCTAGTGGCACTTTGATAACCGGGCACCCCACTATCGGTGACCACCAAATGTGGGAGGAGATCACCAAAACACAAAAGCTCCTATCAAGTTTCACCTTTGTTGAGTGGCTCTCTTCTTTTCAAGCCCGAGCACTTGATCACCATGTTCATCACTTGCTCCACCACTTGGAATGTGCTACCCTATCTCATGATCGCTTAGAGGAGACGTTTCAAAGTCCACTGCGGCAGATGGCAGGCATCCAACAGCTGGAGGACGGCGAGGAGAGGAGGCGCGGGAGGCCATGGCGAAGAAGACCCAAGCGGCATTACACATGTGGGCCCCACTATCAAACCGCAAAATTATAGGCAAGTTACTGTTTTTCGGGGCAAATTTGTAGTTGGCACGACAAAACTGGCAAACGAAGAGGCGGCCACCATATCGGTCGCAAATAATTAGAAATCCCTCAAAACAGGCATGATCACTTTTGGAAAATACTGTCAAAACAAACTAGGACCATAAGCTGCTAGAGTGGAATAGCCTTTTAAGAAGAGTTGCGAACATTAATTTACGTAATGAGAGGGATACCTTCTTTTAGCTTTTGAAACCTAATGGTTCCTTCACAGTAATTTTTATGTAGGCAACTTGTCAACACGGGGATGAAAGTTACTATGGATTTTTGGCGTGTGAAGCTGCCACTAAAAGCAAAGATAATTTTATGGTTCCTATAAAACGGGGGTTACTTGAACTGAAGATAACTTATAGCAAGGAAAAATTGGCATGGAGATATATCTTATGCCTTCTGATGCAGGAATGAAACAATTAACACTTGTTTTTTTTACTGCCTTTGCGGTATACATTGTTTTAAGCATAAGGGGATACATTGTTTTAAGCATAAGGCCACCCTTGGATGTTTTTTTACCTCTTCCATAGATGGTATAAACTAGGACGTGGGACAAAAACTCATTGTTGTTAATAGGAGGTGCAACCATTTGTTGGTCAATATGGCTTACAAAGAATGAAGTTGTTTTTGACAAATGCCAACCTAAAACTTTTTTACAGGTCTTGTTTAGAGGAACACACTAGTTACGACAATGGGCGCAGTTACAACTATGTGATGGAAACAAAGAACATATTCACCAAGTATGCCGGGAGCTAGAAGCGGTGACTGTGCATTTCTTTGCTTCCTTTGGATGGCCAAATAATGTTAGAATCGAGTTTTAAATTGAACGTGTTTTATGATACTTTAATCTTCTGTAATAAGGGGTCTGATTTTGTTAGTGCTAAGGGATGAAGTCGGATTCAATTCCTTTATTAAAAAAAACATGAAGGTGTAAGAGACTTGGGTTTATACAAAAAACAAGGAAATAACTTTTTTTCTACTTTGATATATAGGGATTATGAAGAAATGAAAGCCACCACAAAAGTGAGGAAATATAGTCCGTTTAAACATTTAGGCTAACGCTGCCGCAATGTGATTAAAAAAAGCTTGTGATGTACCCGCGCATTGCAATACCAGCCAACAAAAGCTAGTGCTTTGCCCGAAAGGCCTAGAAGAGAGATGCTCAAGCATGATTGATTAGTTTAGACTACTTGGCTCATTGTATAACCAGACTTTGATGCCTGCGATTACTACAAAACCAAGCTCCAGATCAGGCAGACCATCAAACAATCACGTACCTTTCCCCTCGCTCCCGCCAAGAATAAGCCATATGGCTGAAGCACAAACCGAGACCAATAAGCCTAACGCCCTCGAGGAAGGAGGAGAGAGCTCATCATCACCCACACTTCCAAAAAGGGAGGCATGGCTAGCAACGTGTTTCCTATCGAAGTTCCAAGGCTGCTGCTGGCTGGGGCCAGAGGTCTCCGAGAGCGTGGCGCTCGTGCAAGCCGAGTTCCAGCCACGCCCGAACGACATCATCCTCGCCACCTTCCCAAAGTGCGGCACCACCTGGCTGAAGGCCCTCACCTTTGCCATCCTCAACCGCTCTCGTCACGCCATCGACGGCGACGCCCACCCGTTGCTCACCAACCTCCCTCATGCACTCGTGGTGAACCTCGAGTTCCCTCTCCGCCACCTCCACCCCGTCGTGGAGCTCGAGGAGCTGCCCTCCCCGAGGCTCCTCTGCACGCACCTCCCGCTCGCGCTGCTGCCCTCGGGCGTCTCAGCGCTCGGCTGCCGTGTCGTGTACCTGTGCCGGGAGCCCAAGGACGTGCTAGTGCCACGTGGCACTACATGAACAAGGTGTATCCTGACGAGTTCCTCACGGAGTTTGGCAGGGCCTTCGAGCTGTTCTGCGAGGGGGTCTCTGTCTATAGGCCTGTATGGGATCACTACCTAGGGTACTGGAAGCAGAGCGTAGCGGAGCCCGGCAGGGTTCTCTTCTTGACGTATGGCGAGATGATGGTTGACACTGCCGACCATGTCAGGATGCTTGCGGAGTTAATCAGTGTTCCGTTCACCAGTGAAGAGGAGAGCGGTGGAATCGTGCAGGAGATAGTGAAGCTATGCAGCTTCAAGAATTTGAAGGAACTACCGGTGAACTCCTCGGGTGCGACTGATCCAATTGGTGGGTTGGCGATACAAAATTCTGTGTATTTCAGGACCGCCAAGGTTGGGGATTGGGAAAATTACATGACCACAGAGATGGCAGAGAAGTTGGACCATGTTATTGAGGAGAAGGTCGGAGGATGTGGTCTTACCTTTTAAACCGAGTTTCTCATGTCTATCTATATAATGAATAATAAGCTTGAACAGTAAGTGATTTTACGGTACCAATGCAATTTTTGTTGGAACATACTCCATCCGTCCTGAAATACAACACATCTAAAAGAGCATCTCCAAGAGTTCCCAATAGTTTCTCCCAATCCTTGTTTTTTGGCAAAAATTGAAAAAAAAAACACCTCTCCAACATGCTATTAGCTTGGGAGGAGAGAAGAGGATGGGGTGCTCCCAGCCTGCCAGGCTGCCACCGAGGAGAGGAATGGCAAGGCCCTAGAGGTTTGTAACTCCTCCAGCTAGATGCTGCAAGCCGTCTTCAATGGTGAAACCCCCAGCTTAGAAAGGCTAAAGATCCGATGCAGAGAAGAATGCCAATCATGGAATGATGCAGAGAAGCAGGGCAGAGTGTGTGGAAACACAAGATGAAGAAGCGGAGCACTGTGGGAGCCAGAGGTGGAAGATGCAGGAGAAATGATTACGCATTGATGGAATATTTTAGCAGCTCTTCTGAGGCGATGGAGGGCATAATAGTCTAATTTACCTGTGGTGATTTCTCATTTGTAACAGAGTGCTAAATACCAAAATGAAGTGATCTTTGAGTTCTATTTTAAGGCCTAGGTTCTTTTGATGCTATTTCCACAAGTCATCATCTTTTAGGTGTTACAAAAATGAATTCTGTCTAAAAAGAATGTCAAACAGGAGCCAAGGATGCAAAATGTGTTTAGCTAATTAATATATTCAAGAAAACAAGGAATTTGGTGTCACTGAGCTACTTTCTTCCCAAAATTCTCAAACAGCATATTTTAAAGGAAAACAAATTTTTTAAGGATGTGAGAACAGTAAGACAAAGTTTGTTGAGATATACATCGTATTTAGTGTCGTGGGTTGTGCCTAAAGAGAAATCCACAAATGCGAAACACTAAGAAAACAATGGATGAACCAGATGTTAAAACACTTCTATAACTGTCCTTATCATCTATGTAATTGTCTATCAAACATTCAAACCATTCAAAACTAGAAGTTTGAAGACCAAGACACATAATCCTAGAAAATTTAGAGGGAAAAAAATCTGTCATTACTCAAATATCCACCATCACAGTACACGTTGTCCGGTGGCTAATTTTTTAAAATTTTACCCTTGATTATTTGATATTTTGTCTTTCTAGATTCTAATAAGATAGATTGCTCCGTTACTGAACCACCACAAACTAAAAGTAGCTCCACTATTGAACCACTACTAACTAGACAGTCGACATGACACAGTTCTCTTGTCTGAAACTTACAACACTTACAACAGTAGAGTATACACAGGAACGTTTTTATCCCTTTTCCTAGGTACGAATCATGGATTCACTAAATCCCAAGCACACGGATGCTGTAGCGAGTCGTAACAAGGGGGACCCTGGGAGGGATCCGATCAAATGGGGGCGAGAGATCACTGACCCGGTCGCCGACGTTGCAGTCGTCGACCTCGTCGTGCGCCATGAACTTGGAGGTGCGCTTGACGTAGCGGTTGTACACCTTGTGGTGGAAGAGGCGGTCCACCGCCACCACCACCGACTTCTGCATCTTGTTCGACACCACGATTCCCACCACCGGCTTCATCTCCGCCGGCGGAACTCGGGGTGGAAGTGGAACGCAACTGGAGGCGGCGGCGACAGGGAGGGAGTATCCTTCTCGATCCCTCCCACGCAGCGTCGGCGGCGGAGTAGGGGAAGGCGACGGAGAGGGGAACGGCAGTCGGCGGTCGGCGGCGGCGCTCACTACTACTAGCAGCGGCTTGGGCTTCTTCTTCTTCTTCATTTTTTGGTTTGCGTGAGGAGCGAAGTGAGGCCCATTTCAAAACCCAAAAGGAGGTTTTGCAGGCCTTTTCCGCGGCTTATAGGCCCAGCAACCACTACCGGCCCACGCCTGGTTCCCGTGCATGCCTTGCCTGCCAAAGTACCCTGCTGCTTCGTGTGCTAACACCGATAGATGTGGAGAAAAATGCAAATGGAATGGATTAGTGGCCTGCCTTTCTATTTCGGACTTGCCAGCGCCCGAAAGTCTGATTCGAGGCACTAGCGTCGAACGGTGCTCCCGCGTCCGCGTCTGACACACCCAACTCCCTAGTGCCCGCACCCATCCTGCTCCGAATGCCGCGCGAGCCCATGCATGCGCGTGGACCACCCGAGCCTGCTTCGTTTCACGCGCTCACATGCACGCAGCAGCACCAGGAGCGCACAGTGACCCATGGCGGCACGGTGATCCACGGTGGCGCACTAGCATCAGCAACGTATGCTTTTTCGAGATCTACTTTTGAAACATATAAATGAAACACTTGCAACGTACATCTGAAACAGATGAAACACTTAAAACATGCGCTTGAAACATGCGTGTATAGACATAGCAACATGTGCAACACTATATCTACTTTTAAAACATCCAAATAAAATATTGCAACATACGTCTGACATAGATAAAACACTTAAAATATGCATTTGAAACATGCATGTATAGTTATTGCAATATGTGCAATACCAAGATCTTGAAATATGCATTTGAAACATGCAGGTATAGTTATTGCAATATGTGCAATACCAAGATTTATTTTTAAAACATCCAAATCAAACACATGCAACGTACGTCTGAAACACCGAAAACATTTTAAACATTCGCTTGCAACATGAAACATACGCTTGCAACATGCGTATATAGCTATTGCAGTATAGACGACATCCTGAAAACATACGCGTGAAACACCTGAAACACTTGAAAACACGACATCGACGACGACCATGGCCTACCTGATGGGAACTGCGGCAGCCCCCTCCACGACGAAGGCCAGGGACTCGGTGGCGACGGACTTGGAGGTGGCGGCAAAGGCCTTGGCCTCGACGGCCGTGGTAGAATAAAAAGTATTCTATAAAAAATGAATGGAGTTGAAAATAAGAAATTGCAAAAAAAAAACTAAAAAGGGGACCTCATTAAAATAAAATATTTTCTTTTTCTTTTCCCATTCTCATCATCGGCTTTCTATCTCTCTCATCGAACTTGAAATTGGATTCAAAAGAAAGCTATTGTGAAAATAAAAGAAATACCTCGGCCTGCTTGGCATTAGGCTTTGGGATGGTGCCGTAGAGCTAGGAGAGGACGCTGGGTGCCGCGAGCATATACACATGGTGGCGCACCATGGCGTCGCACGTGCGTTGAGATGGTAGCCAGATGTTGAGCGACGAGAGCAGCACCTCCGTGGCCTTGGCGCTAGCGGCGGCCATCAGGGCTGCGACCTGCGGGGGAGAGTTCGGAGTGGACCACGCCGGAATCCATGGCAGCGCGGTCTCGGTGGTGAGTGGAGGTCGCGTGAGTCGAGTAAAGCCAGGCTCCGAACGTTCTGTAGTGGATTTTTTTTACAAACTTATTTTTTTAGGATTTTTTATAAACTTATGGAGTGGAATGTTGAGGGCAAGACGCAGTGGGCCGTCGGGCTGTCGCGGCCCACAACAATCAACAACGGAAGCGTCTGGATGCCCTAAACAAAGCATTTCCGTTTTTATTTCAAAATAAAGTAATTTATTCAGTCCCTAAATATGTTTCGACCACATGGACACAGGTATAAGGGCAGCATGCAACCCGAACACAATTTTCATCTACACAAAGAAGAGGCATTAACTGTGTAATACTGCTAAAACTATTTAAAGATGAATGTATGAGTTTGCAATCGCCCGAGAAAGTAGTAATAGTACGTAATTGTTGCCTGGGTAAAACTAAAAAAAATATAAAGAAATTACCTTCAAGCTGCATCATAAAACTTTTGTTATGCTAGGTTTATGGACATAAAACTTTATTAGGCTAAAATGGCCTAACACATTTAAGACAAATGATCGATTAGAATACAACTACCGCCGGTAGGGTCTATTAGGATCCAATCAACTAAAAGGCATCGCCGCTTATGTCTGCTTTGTAACATCATTCCATACTACATCCACAAGCATGATTTATAATGGGAAAACAGGAACTATTGTTGGATTGTGCACATCTTGAGTTCGGTAGAGATTCATGCTTACGTGATTAAGCTGGTGTGTGGATGGCAGGGATGGATGGGCTTTTGGAATCGACGTTGGCCAGCAGGAAGTCCAGCAACGGTTAGAGACGTCCAACAGTTCTATGATAATCAGCTGTACCTTCAGAGCATTAATGGTTCCCACATTACCCTTATCCCTAAGAAGGATGATGCCCAAAGAATTTCAGATTTCAGGCCTATCTCTTTGTTGAATACTTCTGTGAAAATTATTACAAAGTTGTTAGCCAACAGATTTCAGAAAGCTTTGCCTACTCTCTTGCATAAGAATCAATATGGCTTTATCAGACAAAGAACTATACAAGATTGTATTGCTTGGGCTCTTGAGTACTTGCATATGTGTCATCAGTCTAAGAAGGAAATCATCATTTTGAAATTAGATTTTGAAAAGGCTTTTGATAAGGTTGAGCATGAATATATGTTGCAAATCATGGAGAACAAAGGCCTTCCACCTAGATGGCTGCTTTGGATGAAAAGCATTTTTGCCTCAGGCACCTCTGCTGTTCTCTTAAATGGGGTTCCAGGGAAGGTGTTCCATTGTAGAAGGGGAGTGAGACAAGGTGATCCTCTCTCAGCTCTTCTCTTTGTGTTAGCAGCTGATTTTTTGCAGACAATTCTTAATCATGCTAAAAGCTCTGACCACCTAAGTCTGCCTTTGAATTTCCCAACTGATTTAGACTTTCCAATTTTACAGTACGCTGATGACACTCTGATTTTCATGAAGGGTGATCTGTCTGAGTTGAATCACCTTAAACAAATCCTAGCTGACTTTGCTGAAGCTTCAGGTCTAAAGGTTAATTTTGAGAAATCCATGATGGTCCCTATAAACATTGGTGATGAGAAGCTCAACCTTTTAGCTTCTTCCTTTGGCTGCTCTAAGGGTACTCTACCCTTTACTTACTTGGGCTTCCTCTTGGTCTTTGCAAGCCTACAATGGCTGATTTCTGGCCCCTGGTTTCCAAATGTGAAAGAAAAATGGTGGCCTTTTTCTCATTCTTGAGTGAAGCAGGTAGATTAGAACTTACAAATGCAATCTTAACAACTTTGCCAACATTTGCTATGAGTTGTTTTCTCCTACCAAAGACAGTGGTTAAACAAATTGATAAGTACAGAAAACATTATCTTTGGCGTGGTTCTGATATTAATAGCAGGAAAGCTCCAAAAGCTGCTTGGCCTATGGTTTGTTTACCAAAGGAGGAGGGAGGTCTTGGTGTGCTTGATATCACAATTCAGAATGAAAGTTTATTGCTAAAGCATTTGCATAAATTCTATAACAAAGCCCCATTCCCTTGGGTTCAGTTGGTTTGGGACAAGTATTATTCGAGAAACAGATTGCCAGTTCAGAACATGATCTTCAGAGGGTCTTTTTGGTGGAGGGACATTCTTAAGTTAATCACTAAGTTTAAAGAGGTTGCTAAGGTATCTTTGCAGGCTGGCAATACATGCTTCCTTTGGCATGATCTTTGGGGGCCTATCATTTATAGTCAGATGTTCCTAGAGCTCTTCTCTTTTGCAAAGAATGAACACATCACAGTGTCAGTAGAAGCCAGTACATCTCAGCTTCATGACCTGTTTCACCTGCCTCTGTCTACTGAGGCCTATGCTTAGTTTGTGGACTTCTCAGTCATCATTCAGGGTCTGCAGCTTCAAAACTCCCCTGACATATGGAATTATACTTGGGGCTCATCTGCCTTCTCCTCCAATCAAGCCTATAAGCTTCTAATTGGCCATCGATAGATCCACCCTGCATTTAAATGGTTATGGAAGTCAGCCTGTCAGAATAAAAGAAAGATCTTCTTTTGGCTTATTCTCAAGGATAGGCTGAGCACTAGAGCTCTTTTGCGTCGGTGTAATATGCAGCTGCCAGACTACAAATGTGTTCTTTGTCACCTAAATGTGGATGAGGATCTTGCCCACTTGCTGTTTCATTGCCCTTTCGCAACTGCTTGCTGGTTAGTTCTTTCTGTGGTTATACTAGGCACCTCTGATCCCTGTTCCATTGTTGATAGTCTTAAAACTTAAGCTTGGTCTGCCTTTCTTTCTGGAGATCATTGTGACCATGTGTTGGTCCATTTGGATGATGCGTAATGATGCAATCTTCAAGGGCTTGCCTCACTCAGTTCGGCATTGCAAGCAAGTGTTCAAGGTTGAATTTGCTCTGGTTAAGCTACGAGCAAAAGCACGGTTTCGTCCAAGATTAGATTTATGGCTTGCTGCCTTTGTGTAATTTTCCTCATTTTCTTCCTTACCTTTTATGTTTCGTGAGGTTGTTTGTAAACAGGGACCTTTATTTTTAATAATAAATTCCAGTAGGGGGTAAAACCCCTCCTGTTTCATAAAAAAATGGTTAGAGACGTCTCATGTGATGTGATGTGGAAAGGCTTCAGTATGTTGAGAAATCAATTTGTATCCACACACAGTGGCACAGTATAAACACAGAGAGATAGGGAGGAACGGGAGTTCTTTATTCTTTGTCTCTGTTTTCTCTTAGTGTACAAAGGAGACCATAGGTCTCTTATTTATAGAGCCGGAGAGCGGGCCAACG